ATCTCCTGATATACTGGTGCTACAACGATGATCTTTAGCTCATCTTAAAGCTCTCCATGAGCTCTTTCAAATGAGCTATTCAAAATCGCCGTAACTACAATATTTTGCTATATAGGTTCTGCGCATGTACGAGTGAACTTATGCGCATGCGCAGTGCTATTCCTTAAGCTACTGGTGCTACGGCGATTACCTTTAGCTCATCTTAAAGCTCTCGCTCAGCTCTTTCGAATTAGTTATTCAAAATCGCGGTAACTCCAATATTTTGTGATATAGACTTTGCGCATGCGCAGTGCTATCTCCAAAATTACTGGTGCTACGGCTATGATCGAGCTACGGCTTGACGAGCTCTTTCTAATGAGCCATTCAAAATAGCTTTAACTCGAATAATTTGCGAGATAGTAATGCACATGCGCGAGTAAACATATGCGCATGCGCAGTGCTACCTCCTAATATACTGGCGCTACGGTGATGATCTTTATCTGATCTTAAAGCTCTGGACGAGCTCTTTCGAATTAGCTTTTAAAAATCACCTTAACTCCAACTTTTTCCAACATATGTTCTGCGCATGCGCGAGCGTGTTTCTGCGCATGCGAAGTGGTATCTACTAAACTGTTGGTGCTACAACGATGATCTTTAGCTCATCTTAAAGCTCTCAATGAGCTCTTTTGAATAAGCTATTCAAAATCACCATAACTGCAATATTTTGCGATATGCAAGCTGTGCATGCGCGAGCGTGTTTGTACGCTTGCGCTTTGCTATCTCCTAAACAACTTGTGTTATAGCGATGATCTTTAGCTCATCTTAAAGCTCTCGATGAGCTCTTTTGAATAAGCTATTCAAACTAGCGGTAACTTCAATAGTTTGCGAGATAGGTTCTGCACGTGTCCAGTGCTCTCTCCTAAACTACTGGTGCTACGGCGATGATCTTCAACCCATCTTAAACTTCTCGATGAGCTCTTTAAAATGAAATGTTCAAAATCGCCGTAACTATAATATTTTGCAATATATGTACTGCGCATGCGCGAGCGAATTTGTGCCCTTGTGCTTTGTTATCTCCTAACCTACTTGTGCTATAGCGATGAACTTAAGCTCAGCTTAAAGCTCTCGATGAGCTCTTTCGAATGCGCTATTCAAAATCGCAGTAACTCCAATATTTTGCGATATAGAAACTACGCATGCGCGAGTGAACTTCTGCGCATGTGCAGTGTTATCTCCTACAGTAGATTTACCTCATTTAAATGTGTGTGTCTATTTCACAAAAACCTGTGGCATTATTTTCAATATTTCATGCTTACGGTATCGTGGTTGTTTTCGCTTCATCATTGTTTTTGTTTTCTTGTAATTGATTTTATTTAGTATTTGTTAATATTGCAACTAATATATTAACTCGTTTCAGTCTCCGCTTGCTGAAATCAAGATGGCTTCTAACCTTGAACATTTCAAACATTACAACTCAATGGTTGAAACCAATGAACTATTTAATCAAGTTACATTTGTTTCATCGTGTGCAATTCCTCTTTATGGATATCAAAGATATAGACAGTTATTCAAGAATGAAATAAAATTTAGAATGTTTTCATTTGTTGATTTGACATACAGATTGGTTTGTTTACCTCCCAAAAAATGGAGGAAATTTGTTCACAGCGAACATAAATGTAGTCTTTACAATGTTTTTTAGCTGTCTTGTCATAAATATCGAAAATGTTTAATGATTGATAATATTTTTAATTGTTTAACTAAATGAGTTTGTTTTATGCTTCATTAGAAACTGATGGAAGCTTTGAATAATTTTGGTCAAAAACGGCAGATAAATCCTGGGGATGGGGGATGAAGCTTTCTATGTTTACAGATGTATACCATTGTGAATTTATAATTTCATTGCTATCACAATTTATAGATTAATATAAAAATTTTTGATGCTATGAGAGATGGTCTCATCAATGTGCAACAATTGAACTGGATTTCCAACTTCCTGAGAGATTCAACCTCACGCTAGGTAAGTTTTGCCAGTAAGCTTTTCGTTGAATAACCTCACTACGGTCTTGATACTTAATTTATTCAACCAACAGTGACATGATTATTTGTTTCTATAGAAACCTATTGTTATATATTTATATGCTTATATATACTATATACTTATATGCAGCCTGCTACATTGCTGAACACTGAAAGTCCCACCTGCATTCAAACTCGCCCGCAAACAAACCCACCCGCATATAAGTATATAGTTACATTTAATATTGCAATGTTAACAGATAATTGCAATATAATAGTTAATAGTCCATGCATGTATCCCTGTGCATCCATCCCCCCCATGTAAATATCATTGATAATGGCTCACAAACATATGTAAGCCTGTGTATTATAGTCAGAGGATTACGGCACAGTTTAAGTTTCCATGAAATTGTAGATCTTTACAAATTGTAACAATTTAGTAATTTATCAATATTCTATTACTCTATTGACAGTGGTGAAGGAGATAGAAAATTAAATCCTGTTATTATTCATCGAGCTATTGTAGGTTCAGTTGAAAAAATGATTGCTATTCTTGCTGAAAGCTTTGGTGGAAAATGGTGAGTGTTTTCTTGGCTCATGCCAGAGCTTAAAGCAAATGAAATGTCCTTAAAATGTTAAATTAAAATGATACAAAGTTTCTTAATTGTTTGGAAATTTTTATCATTTTACTCTACTACTTTATTTCAAAATTTTGACGCACTGCATTTTCTGTTATTTTCTAGGATTTTATGGCTTTCTCCCCATCAAGTTGTAGTAATTCCTGTCAGTAGTAAATATGATGATTATGCCGAACCGGTAAATTTAATTTGGTAAGCCTTAGATCGAACTTGCACAGGCTAATGCAAACTCAGCTATGGACAAATTGTTGCTATTTTATGAATTGGAACTTTTTTGTCCTTTTTTTTTTATTGACATTTTGGTCATGTTTAGATTCAAAAGAAGTTCCATGCAGCTGGTTATCGTGTTGATACAGACTTGGATCACGGATCAACACTAAATAAGAAAGTTCGCAATGCACAACTTTCACAGTACAACTTCATTCTTGGTATGAATAAGTCTTTTTAAATTATTTTTTATTTACTGTACAAATAAATAGAAATTAAAATGGTTTGGAACCACTGTTGGTGTTCAGAGTTTACTGACGTTTCCACAACATTAGTCAGGTTCGCCGTATCTGTTCTCTAGACGTCATGACAGAGAGGAAAATATGTGGATGTTTTAGTTTGTGTGGTATACTTATTAATTGTTCGCTTGTAAGCCGTTTATAAGGTGCTGATATTTGTATTCTGTTCAATGATTTTTGTTTTGAGTTTGTTAACCTACTTTCTAACGTAAGTCGTTGTCTATAGTCAGTGCTGTTTGTAATGTTGTGCATTGTGATGCTCACTTGTCAGTACTCGTTGTTCTTGGTAGTCAGTTGATGTGCGAGTTGTAAAATGTAAGGTATTATCGTTTGCTGTTGTTGGATTGTTTGTTGTTTGTGTTTTTGTTTGTTTGTTTTGTGTTCATTGTCTTTTAAGTGTTGTCTATTTTAAAAAGCAAAATAGATGTTCATTTTATTACTAAATGCGATTGGTTAAATGGTTTTATGTTGTTTTTTAAACAGTTGTTGGTGAAAAGAGACGGTCTCAGACACGGTCAACGTCAGAACACGTGACAACAAAGTACTCGGTGAAAAATCGGTCATGGCCGTGATCGAACGCTTGCGAGATTTAGTCAGCTCACGAAGTCTGACAAGCGAAGATTTTTGAAGTAAAACAACATTTTTATGGTAAAGATAAAATGAATTTACTCACAAAAATAAATTTGAATGTAAATCCCATGATGCGTCGCAATTATAGAAAAATAGGTACGCGTACATGCCACTGGTCACTGGCAAACTGGCGGCATTGGTCACTAATTGGAAACAAAAACAAAATTGTTAAAGAACATATTTTAAGTAAAAACGACTCATGCAAGATAACTCAAATGTTCAACTTATGATGATGAAAATATAAAAAAAACATGGAGATAAAATAAAGCATGACAATCAATAGATCTTCACTTAGGTAATAATAGCTGCAGATCCAAATTTATAAACAGTGTGTGAAGCACTGACTAAAACATTTTGGCAATCAAATGCACATGAAAGCCCTGGCAGGTTAGCTAAAGTCCCTTGGTGCTACAAGTCTTGTGACTTTTACTACAAAATCTCCCTCGGCTTTCAAGTACATTTAATCACTAAGTTACCTCACTACCGTGCATCGTTTTACTTATAAAAATATTGCACACGCTAGCTAAAATGTAGATCCCATTAACTACATACATGTATGGTCTTATATGAGCCAGTTTTAAATACTCAAAGAATATTTAGGCAATCAGAGAGTAAAATATTTTTACCTTACTCTGAACAAAACAGTTTTTCTTGTGAGTCTTTTTATCGCAGGGATACGTCGGTATAAAATTCTTATCACCAAAATGTTTCAAATTCCAAATTGGTGAAGTGTTGACTGTGTAGTAAGCTGGTCGATACAACTCATACGCAACGCATCGATTTGCTGTTTAAAATCATGATAGAACTCATGCAGATAGATTGGTTTCACATAGCCAGAATAACAACCAATAACTGTTAGCTTCCAGAGCAATTCAGTGAATTCACCACAAATGTCAGTCTGCTACGTGAAGATAGTTCTCTTGCATATGCCTCAAGTCTTTTTTTACGCTTCCGAATTGCATCCTTGAACGCCTTATTTTATACAGTTGAGCCAACATTTACCTATTCTTGCCATAAAATGATTAAGTGTGCTCCAAGTTGACTGAAAATAAAATTGTTCAGCATACGCCATTTTGAAAGCATGTCTATAATTATCCACTATCATCCATTGTAACCACTATCAACATCCTAATGTCATTGGTCAAAAATAGTCACATTTTTTATTTACTTTTGCCTTTCATTCATGTCATTTCTAGATATGAATTTACTTATTCGTCCATAGTTCAATCAATAATAAAAAAATATTTATTGCAAATTTTATTATAGCAAATGAACGTGACGCCAAGAGTTTGTAAATTACATGCAATTTTTCGTCGTGGTATAGTGAACTATCTATCTCGACCTTATTTAAACCTGAACATTTTTACGAAGATGGTTCGAAAGTTCCCTGCAATCTCCCACCAGTTTAAAGAAGCAAAAGACAAAGTAGGATCTTTAATTCAAAATCCAGGGAATGAATTGAAGTTAAAGATGTACGCCCTTTTTAAGCAGGTATTTTACGAATCATAAAGATATTGTATCCGGTTTTTACATAAAGCTTGACCATTAGTTGTTGTATCTCCTACCTACAAGCTCTTCAATTAAATGGTGACTTTACATTTTTGGTGCACGATGTGCATCATTGCAGTTGAATCACATATTTGCAAAGGCACAGTCAATTTTTTTCAATTCTAACTATAGAGCTCAATGATCTCGACCTTATTTAAACCCATTGAACTCTACAACAACTGGAAGGCTAACTTGGACGCCATCTTTGAAGCCTGCACGAGCGCCGCCATTGAAGGTACGGAGGCGAAATACATCACTTCGAAATTGCCGAATTTTTTGCAAAAAACAGTGGTCTTCAAGCCAGCTTAATGTCTAAAAATCTTAAACAATGTTTGGAGATTGTTTTTTATAATTTATTGTACGAACATTTTTACTTGCTAAAACTTACATATTACTTGAAGTCGTTTGAGAAGTTCCTTTCTCTTAAATTTATTCTTAAGTTTATCATACATTACATTACAGATGTAAATTTTTTTTTGGGTCTAAGGACATGAGAGTAGAAAACATTGAGGTGTAAAATAATCTCTAAACATGAAAGAAGATGCCGCTACTATACTGGGGAAACGCCAGTAAATTTGATGATCAATTTTCACATGTTTTATACTTGTTGCGAGGTATGTCATTTTGTACGTTTTATGTAAATTTTCGTGAATTAAAAATACTGTGAAAAGTCCCAAATGGATTGCCAGCTGATGAAAAAATCATTTTACACCTTAATGATTTCTTCCTCTAAATTGTTTTCATCAGTTACCATGTTGGGGCAAAATTCCATACAGTGAAAAGAATTTCTGCTAATTTTATGCTTTGCTGAGCTTCGACACTCTCATGTACTCTCCCAACATGGCTTATATGACGTCAAAAGAAAACACACTATAGCTACGGTTGAATGAAAACAGCCCCAAACATCATTAAATATTTGTTAAAATTGCGTATATACTAGGAGTTACTATCGCAAGGGAAGTGCTGCCCCTCCACCAAGTAAGGTAAAACAGTTTGGAAACTGCTATTGCGTGTTTTCCATCATTTATCATCTGCCATAAACAATACAATAATGAATGGTAAAAATAAAAATACAGCAAGAAACCGCAACAACTCGTATACTTTGTCATTGCATAAAGACAAGCTAATTGTGTCATCTTTTATTTTCAAATTGTCATATAAATCAATTTATAGAAGTAGATGCAAGAAGTAACACTGTATGTATGTATAATTATGCTAATTTCAAAATGGACTAATTGGATGAACAGTTTTCAAAGCTCATTTTACAAAAATTTGCATATTGTCATTTAGAACTCGGCCAATAACAATTAAATCATGTTAACCGGAGCTTAAATGAAATTTTCAGAATTTCATTCACTTGGTTGCCAACAGCACAAGATCAACACATCCATCAATACAAATCGTTATATGGTGTCATATATGTATCTCTTAAGTCTCCCTGTGCTTCTTTGTTAGTATATCATATGTTTTCACCTGGATTCATGTTACTCAGTTGTTTTAGTGAGGAATCACTTTTATGCACATACAAACTTGAATGGTACAGTCGTTGCAGTCATTATTCATAGCATTTCCATTATTGAAAGCGTAAATCGTAGTATTTTGAAAGTCTGTTCTTGATTCTTCAATTAATAACCCAGATGTAGAAATCTACAAAAAAAAAGATAATATTTAAAAACTGGTGCATTATCATAAAAAGGGGAATATGAGAAGGCAATGTAATAAGCCTGAAAAAATAACTTACCTTTATCGTATTTGCTGATGATCTTATTTACATACATTATACATACAGTGATTATGGCCATGAAATTGATTTGTTGTATAGGACTGATTACACATAATGTATGACTATAAAGACTTTAGAAGTCTGAAACTGGATTTCATGAAACTAATTTCTGAAACTGGATTTGAATATGTAATACAGACTTGGATACAGAAGTCTTCTATACAGACTTAAGAAGTCTTCTATACAGACTTCGTGTTTATTACACTGCTATAAGAAGTCTGTGCTAAACTATCTAAGCGGTTTCCTCTTCAATCCTGTATTGTAAATTGGCTGATGATTTCAAGCTTGTTAATCGCGTAAGTCATTGGTTCAATGACACAAGATAAAATTGATTTTACCCTGCTTATTGCAACGTGAAAACTCCGGCAGTTCTTTCAGACTTGCCAATATCTATCCACGCTTTGGGAAGTGTTAGTCCTTGGCTCTTGTGTATTGTTAGAGCCCAAGTGAGTCTTAGAGGCAGCTGTTGCCTCTCATGAAATCCAGTTTCTAATTGTGAAGAGACTGTGATTGGACATATTGGAACACAAAATGGTTTGTCTACAATTTGTTATAGATATTTTGTCGATGCGATTTGCCAGTATTTGAGCGCTTTTGAAGCACTTTCACCTAGGAAATACATATTTATGAAAGCGATTATACATTCATTTTGACTCTGAAGATGACTACCGCTAAGGTTGTCGAAACGTCAGTCAACAACAACAAAACAGTCCGTCTCAGGACTATACGTAACAGTGCAACTCTCATTTAATTCAAATATATATAATGTACATTTATTTCATGTAGCACGTTTTGAAAGCATTATTTATACGTTGTTTATTTAATCGCTTTCATAAATATGTATTTCCTAGGTGAAAGTGTTTCAAAAAGCGCTCAAATACTGGCAAATCGCATCGACAAAATATCTATAACAAATTCAACTATAACATACAAATGAATGTAGTATAAAAGTAAAATACCTTTTCAGCATTTAAATCCATCAAATGCTTGCCCCAAAGTCCACACAAATACAAGGAAAAATAAACGCAAATATCAATGTATTGAAGAAATTGTGTTGTTTCTCATTTGTTGACCAGAAAATAGTCGTATGTCACTCGTATGTACTCGTATGTTACTCGTATGTACTCGTATGTACTCGTGTGGTGTTTTAGTCACGATCGTTTAATCATAGCATTCCAATTTCTATCCAATCGGCATGCACAAACGACGCACAGTTCACCTTATATGGAGGTGAGTGCTTCAATGCTCAATCGATTCTCGTCAGTCATACGTTTTCATCATAAAATTAAAAGATAAATTCCTTGCCATTTTGAATGAAAACATTTTTTTTGATTCTTTTAAATGTCTTGATTGTTTTGATTCTTTTGAGTTTTTAAAATGCTTTTTGATTAAAAGTATGATACCTTGTTTACTCAACCGAACAATCGTCCGCATGTTTACAAACGTAGAAACGGACTATATTATAAAACTGTAGTTTTGTTTCCATTATTTCCTTTACAACATTTTGATAGAACCTTTTTTCCGATGATTCTGTGCGACTGCGATAAAATGATGTATAGTTATCGCAAAGAGCAAACGTTTCATATTCATAATTCATATTTCATGGTTGAACTCGCACCATGCGTTTAAATTATTTTGACGTTTTGTTAAATCCACACCGATATTTCAAGTAATAATAAAAGCTCGAACGAAAATAAACACATGCTTACACTATATTTTGCTCACCGTCTGACCATAGAGCGCAAGATAAAAAATGTAAACCGAGCTGGCTAAATACGGCACGGTGAATCGATTTCATGTGTTTTTCGCCAAACGAGATATGTGTAATTGATGTCGGTAATCACTCGATTTTGGTATCTACTGTATAACGTTGTTTAGGCCGCATATCTATTCGGATTCCAGACATTTAAAATCAAAGAGAAACTGACAGGAGTTCCGAAAGGTTCTACCTTATTGTGATTGTTCTTCCCCTCATTCCGTAAAAATCCCCCCCGGAAATGTTAACAGACAGACACAAATCCAGATTTTACCTCTATATAGGTCGAGTAGAGGAATGGGCCGAGACATGTCAAGATTAGTGTGCTGCCACCATTGAGTTCTATAAGACCTGGAGGGGAAACGTAAACAAAATTACTATAAATTATCAGCGCGCGGCCGCGTGGTCAAAAACATGGCGGATTTTGGTTGTCAAAGTCAGCGGAAAGACGCGGGCTCATAAAATGAAATTTTTTTCGCCCACCCGGATTTGACAACCACAATAGCGATAATATAAAATATCAATGCCAAACACAAAAACTTTTAGAAATTTTATCTTTAAACCTTGTTGCAAACTTGTTTGGTAGACGGATGCTGAAGTAATGCCAGAAAAGGAAACATTTCATGATACCGGTAAGCAACGTAAGATTGTTTACCATTTAAAGTGTTCAGTGTTTTGTTTTAAGTCAATACTTGAAGTGTGATTGTATATATTTTGTGAATGTTTTTACTCCTAATTTAAGTTATGTTTATCCATTCTTATTTGTTCTTTACTTAATCGCTTGCTAGACGAGGCAAAGCAACCAGTTCTTATCGAGATATGCATATCTTAAAACTCCTTGTTTCAACTGAGTTGAAATGGAGGATTTTTCATGATATTTTCTGAAAATATGAAGCAAATATTAAGGACAGAGCTGTATTGAAATCAAATGCAGTGCAAGATTAATTAATGAGCTCTTTGGTACATGTCGTACAATAAAAAATACCTGTATTAAACAGCTAGCCTGGACAATTTGACAGATTATGGACAATCATGATGATGGTGTGTAAAGGTTTGCTTTATGCTAAAAGTTTTATAAATGCCATCTGGTGTTTCTGTAAATGAATTGTTTGTTACACAGTGTAGTAAACAGGTTAGTACATCAAAATCAAGATAAAACTACTTTGTTCAATAATGTGCCAAATTTTGCTCCTACCTTGAAATATTTGCTCAAGAAAAGCTTATCATGACATGCATGAAACGTTAAATACAGTACTGCATCATCTGACAAAATCCATACATTTTTCAATTCCAGGTGATTAAAAATTCACATAAGATGCATTGGTTGCAATGAAGTTGAATGTGGAAGAAGCAAAAATTGATGGCAAAGAACTTTTTATGTCTTTTGAAGAATTACAATATCATTTAAAAGAATAAGAGTAGCAATCTAGTAAAAGAAGCCACATCTGCCTTCAACATGAGACTTTTCCAATTATGTATAGTTACTTTGTACAAAATACTATTTTAGATAAACTTGATTTTTAAGTCATTTACTGATATTTTTACCAAAAGACAAAAAGAAAAATTCAAAGGCATAATGTAAAATTCAAAAATTTGTCAAGTTGTTTGAACCTAGAAAAAATTAGTATAGGTAACTGTAATTTGTAAGGACACAAAAGAAAAGTAGTGCAAGAAGGTTAGCATTTTTGAGAATTAATAAGTTCTTGATATACATTACACAAGGCCATAATATTATAAATAATGACTGTACAATATCAATTATACAACATGCTAAATATCTTCACCTACATTATAATTATTTAAACAGGTTTGCCTTCATGCAGCAATAAGAAAAGTGTTATGTCAGAGAAACCAATGCACTTTAATTTAAGAAATAGTATTTTCAATGGGAAATTAACGTAGTTCTGTTCAGTAGTAGATCCATGGTTGTCAATAACAATCCAGTTTCTAATATCTTGGCTCAAAACAGAACCAGCAACATGATTAGAGAATTTCTGAATTTCGTTCTTTTGCTCTCCTAGTTCAAGATATTTTCATCATAAGTTCTCAGTAGATTTATCAGAATATCATAATACTTTATAAGACATCCAGAATCAATCCTACCAAAAAAAACTCAAAAAATTACATACATACTAATAATATATTTCCAGTCGACTTAAGTCGTAGGGGTAAGCTAACTTTTTCTAACTCCTTTTTGGACATTTTAACTAAGATTTACCCATCTATTCAAGAAAGACAGTTGCACCAAGCTGTTCACAAACAGTCAAAAACACAAGTAATGCGCATGGGATTATGCATTAAAGCTTAACAACACATTGACAGTGTAAAGATTGCCGTTTGATATTTATTTCTAATATAGCTAAAGCATTACTTGACAAAATATACGTTATTTTACAGTAGATTTACCTCATTTAAATGTGTGTGTCTATTTCACAAAAACCTGAAGCATTATTTTCAATATTTTATGCTTACGGTATCGTGGTTGTCATTATTATGAGCAGTAACAGAGATCCGTTTCGGGAGGGAGCGAATGTTAAAAATTTTTCTCAAAGTGGAAGTTTTGACAACCAAAATCCGCCATTACCGCCATGTTTTTGACCACGAGGCCCAGGCCCCTTTGCCCCTCCAGGTCTTATAGAGCTCAATGGCTGCCACGCTGATGCGTGGCAGCAATTATTACGAAACAGCGATTTTGTGCACGTTATGATGACAAATTTCCATATTGCATTGAAAAGCGTATTTCGAAAAACATTTATCAAACGCTGACACTTGCTGGCATGGTGACCATGTTTAATTTAAATACATATGCATATTTTAAGCTGACAGTCGTTTCAAAACTACCGATGGATGTTATTTATTCATCACGGCATAAATGCCTTTCAAACAACTTTATTATTCTAAAATCATTACTTAATAGAAATTTGTACAACATTATTCCAAAATAGGTGGCAGGAGCCTACTTTGAAATACTTTACCACAAATTCGTTTAAGTCAGAGAGCGAGGGAACTCTCTGACTTAGTAAGAATACGCCGAATTCAACAGAGTATATATGCTCTCAAAATCCAAGATTTCTTAAAATCTAAAAGATAGCCAAAGAACAAATTAGCGATACAATAAAAACAAACACATAAACCTGAAAAAAGACTGAAGTCACTAAGCTACAAGTCAGTGAAACAAATAAAAAAATTTTTATACCTCATCTTGTTTTTCATCTTGTTCTCCATCAGCATGCTTCCCGTCTCTCCGTCAGCATCCTCTTCGTCGCTCCATCAGCATCCTCTTCGTCGCTCCATCAGCATCCTCTTCGTTGCTACATCAGCATCCACCTCGTAACGCCATCAGCATCCTCCTCGTAGCACCATCAGCATCCTCCTCGTAGCACCATCAGCATCCTCCTCGTAGCACCATCAGCATCCTCCTCGTAGCGCCATCAGCATCCTCCTCGTAGCGCCATCAGCATCCTCCTCGTAGCGCCATCAGCATCCTCCTCGTAGGACCATCAGCATCCTCCTGCAGGACCATCAGCATCCTCCTCGCAGGACCATCAGCATCCTCTTCGTAGCACCATCAGCATCCTCCTCGTAGCTCCGTCAGCATCTTCCTCGTCTCTCCGTCAGCATCCTCTTCTTTTCATCAGCCTCCTCCTCATCTAAACGAAAATCTAAAACAAGTTAAGATTAGGACAGGAAAAATAATAACGTACTCCTCTATCTTCTTCTTGATCTTCATCTCTTGTACCTAAAAAGACTGAAGAAGAAGTTATTTGTTTGATGGAAACAAACAATTGTAAGCACCCACCACTGCCAGAGTTCGCGTTCTTTCACTGTCCGTACGCTCGACATGTCTATAAAATGCAACAACAATATCATGGCAAGTGATTATGGAGATCGTGCTTGCATTGTAATAGTTTTATCATGCTAAAACATTTATATCCATGACTGTACATGATTGAACATGTATGTTAAGTGAACAACTCTTTGAAGATTATAAGACTCGCGAAAGCTTATCGTTTGAACCGTGCATTGTGTTATAACACCCTCAATGTTATAACACATGCAGTGTTCTGTAACATTGTCAAACGATTTATTACATGCGATATAATTCAAAAATACCTAGATAAAACAAGATAATTAACGAATGTCTCATGCAATATATTCTCTGCTCAACTCTTTTCGATTTCATCCAAAAGGTTGTTTAATTATTTCGGTAAGGCACTAAGGTTTATAAAGATTTTGCAACACTCTGCCCGCATGTTGCAATATCAAATGAATTTATTATTTCATTATATATTACAGAATATACAATTCTGTAATATATAATTGATAATTGATTAAATTCCTCACCTCTCGATGCATCCTTCTCGAAGTGCATCTTCTCGTCTCGACGCTCGACCTGCGATTTTTTCTGAATGGTCCTGTCGCTGATCTCTTTCCATGATCGCCGATCTGATTCGCTCCGATTTATCCATCCTGACGACGCTCGAGAGATCGCGACTCTGACGACCGCTGATTTATTCGATCCGATTGACGCGATCGCGCGATATTCCTTCGATCTTTTCATCCGATCGCCGGATGCCGACGACGCGACGCCGATTTGATCGCCGACGCCGACGATCTATCCCGACGATCTTGCGCCGATGATCTGCGCCGACGATCTTCTTTCTGACGATTCAAAGAGTGCCGATTTGACGCGAGCCGACGATCCGACGAGATTTATTTGTCGACGATCTTTACGACGCGACGATCTTCATCTTTGCCGACGATTCCTTTGTTCGACGATCTTTACGCCGATCTCGGAGCCTTATCTGATCCTTTGTTTATCTTATCCTTCCTGATCTCGACGATGACGCGACGACGCGGACGCGACGATCTGACGCTGATCGATGCGCGACGACGACGCGCGACGATCGCGCGACGCGACGATCTGAGCCGCTGACGATCTTCGGACGCGCGATTTGATTCTGACGCGCGACGATCTGGACGCGATCGATCTTTATCGCCGACGACGCTCGACGATCTTTGTTCGACGATCTTTGTCGACGACGCCGGATTTTCGACGGATCTTTGTTCTCGATCAGATCTCGCGGATCGATTCATCTCGCGACGATCCCTTTTCCTTCATCTGCATCCTCGTCTCTTCATCTGCATCCTTCTTGTCTCTCCGTCAGCATCCTCCTCTACTTTTCATCAGCCTCCTCCTCATCTAAACGAAAAATCTAAAAACAAGTTAAGATAAGGACAGGAAAAATAATAACGTACTCCTCTATCTTCTTCCTGATCTTCATCTCTTGTACCTAAAAAAAGACTGAAGAAGGAGTTATTTGTTTAATGGAAACAAACAATTGTTTAGCACATACCACTGCCGGAGTTCGCGTTCTTTCACTGTCCGTACGCTCGACACTGTACATGACTGAACATGTATGTTAAGTGAACAACTCTTTGAAGATTATAAGACTCGCGGAAAGCTTATCGTTTCAACCGTGCATTGTGCTGTAACACCCCTCAATGTTATAACACATGCAGTGTTCTGTAACATTGTCAAACGATTTATTACATGCGATATAATTCAAAAATACCTAGATAAAAACAAGATAATTAACGAATGTCTCATGCAATATATTCTCTGCTCGATTTCATTGAAAAGGTTGTTTAATTATTACGGTAAGGTACGAAGGTTTATAAAACATCATCGCATTTGAAGATTGAGCAACATTTTGCCCCATGTTGCAATATTTGTATACTTATAATATATATTTGAGGTAATTCATTTGAACGTTTCTCAAGTGAATTACCCACTTTTATCTCACCTACTATAACATCACTTGATGCTACAGTAGTTCCTCCAGGAGCAGGGACGGATTAACCAAAGGAAGCTGTCTAGAAGCCTCCACAAACAAGGGCCTTCACATTATTCAAAGGAAGAATAAACATAGTTGCTTTAAAGACGAAGGAAAAGCATTTAGTTTATTTGTTGGATCAATTTCAGGTGATGAAGAACAGACCACGTATGACAACGAAACAGTAAACTCAGCCATTTTGCTCTGATGAGCATTGAGGACAATATTCTAACAGAAATAAACTTGGAAGAGCTTATCAAAGACTGCCAGAATAAAATCGCAATAACTATATCTCAAGTAGCAGCATTCACTCGTCGTATGCAACCGCTTTACACGCTATATTCGAAGTTTATACTTTTATCAAATGCTTTACGAAATTTGAAAGTAAATTTTACTGTTGAAAAATGAGCAGCACATTGCGTTTAGAGTAAGGGAAAGGGATCTTTACTACGTATTTTTGCCTCAGAGCCTCCACACATCTTAACGGCCCTGCTCGGGAGACATATTATATCCTTTTGTCACAAAGACAAAAGGATTGAACTTGCTATTTCTAACAATGGCCAGTTGTTAGAAATAGGCAAAATGCAAAATCATCACACTTATGTGAATGATAACGATGAATGCAAAATGAAAATATTTTCGACATGTATTGAAGAGGTCCAATAATTGATGTCAAGAATAGTGGGAAACTTTTGGCAGTTTCTTCGTGTTCTCACTCAATATGTAACTGAAACTTGACGGCATTTTGTGCTCCAAGATCGAAACATAGAAATACTAAGAAACCAAAGAAATCGATCATTCCTTCGAACAAATAGGACTCATAACGATGCTTTGAATATGCTGTAACGAGAATTCACATCACAATTGGGTTATACATTTGAATTCATCGATCTCAAACTTACATCTTTATGTCATCGACGATTTTTCTGTATTTAACCTGCCGCTTTCAAACATGGCTAAAATATCTCAACCGTGTCATGTCTTCAGTTGCTCGTCCTTTCCAACAAGTAGTCGCATTTCTTGAAGGCTGTCTTCGACTTTCAACAGACTTTCACCTTTCCCAGACGAACAGCTCGGTCAAATAGGGTTATCGAAGTGAAAGACCTACTTTTCTTCTGATAACTTTCATATATCACATGAATTAATTATTAATTCATTCGTCAATTTTGTTCAAACCATGATAAAAGGGATTAAATTCATTGATTGCATGAAAATATATGGGCAAAGACAAAAGGAATTAACTGGTTATAAGTTAACTAACGACATTGGTTAGTAAAAGAAAGCAAAGCCTTTTCCCCAGAGGTTTGGAGAAAACAAAAGAATATTTCTTTTGTTTCCTCAATGAAGAGTTTGCGAAATCAATGATTGTAAGGTTATGACGGCAGACAGAGCATGTCGTGTTGTGGTAAATTTTATCTAGTATGAACAAAAATTATCTCACCCAAAACCGCAATTCAATGCACCATAGCTAGGAGAGTTATCATTTTCTCCCACCTGACCACCTTTATTCAACTTGTTACGTCAACAAATAAATTAGAAGGCATATCAAAGCTTGTAATTTATTCACGGGAATCACCCACATGTTATAGAAAAGCTTTTGTCGTGCTCAATACTTATTATGAACATTGAGCCCTGCTTATTGCAATAATATGACTTGCCATTGTAAAATGTAATGTAATAATTTAACGAGAGAATTTTATTGACAGAACTAAATGGTAGCAAGTGATTCATTTTAGCAATCCTAATAGGATGGGACAAAGGGAAAGAATGAGAGGTAAGTTCGTTTTCAAATAATTATCTTTAGCGATGTAACGATAGCAGGACTTTCAAATGCGGTAAATGTTTTGTGGGAAAAGCGCGATTGTTTCTTTTCCGTGGTTGTAATCCTTAAAATTACATTATTAACAGTAAAACTGAACAAATTGAAAGTTATCTTTTCCTCTTATATTCCTTGTTCAACGAGTTCATTTCCTTGATCAAACCATGATGAAAATTTATCCAATCACATTTACATTAAAGTTTTTAAACTTCAAGATTTCCCACATTCATTTAGCTTAAATGCCGCATGATAAACGAATGATATCTCTAATCAAAGATGATCACGCAGTCTCCGATTTTTAGGAATGAAAATAGGTTTTACGTTAATTGGTTTATGTTTGGCGTAAGGTGAAGCTGGTGATCAAACAATTAACACGTGATTACCCTTTAACCATAATCTCCACATGCTTTTATGAAATCCTCGAGCATCTAAGTCCCAGATTCGTAAACATCTCATTATTCCATGTTGTCCAGTCGTTAGCATGTTTCATTTCAATATAAAATATATATGTTTTATCAGATGTTTCTGGAACAAAGTCTTTCTGTTCTTGCAAGGATTTTTACTGTGATCCAACGGCTCTGCCAACCTGTAAAACAGTAGATAGACATCTCTAACAATCAAATGACATAAATATACGCACTATGATGATAATTAGATCACTGAATCACTAAGTAGAAATCTCCTTCATTGTCCTAGAAAAGAAAAATATTGTTGTCAATATTTTATAAAATCCTGCAAGACATACCCTACAAGCCGTTCAATCTCCTTCATAATTTTTCAACAATCCAACATTAAACTTAACGTTAGGTTCAGTATTCAACGTATGTTTTTTGAAATAGGATTCTTGAAAAAATACATTCATATTCAGGCCTTTGGCGCCAAAATGGTAGGTTCTTGAGATATCCGGAATGATACATTCACGTCCCTTTTTGTTGCTGTCCATCCTCATCCACATATCCCAATCCCAAAAGAGATCAGGGGTTGGCCATTTTGGCTCAAGTTCTTCTTTATAAAGTCGTCGTTTGAGCAACCTGTTAATGCAAAGAGAAATAATAGATAGAATGAAGTTTATACTATCTATACATTTATAGTGCTGCGTGATGTCATTGTGGCGTGATGTCATTGCAGCGTGATGTGCTTGTAGTGTGATGTCATTGTAGCATGACGTCACTGTTGCGTGATGTCATAGCGTAAACAAAATCATTTGTAGTAATAAAAATTCTCACCAGCCTAAACCAGGCATTGTTTCTACACGATATAACATTGCAGGATCATTACACGTGTGATCATAACCCTAAAAATAGAAATACTTGTTTTTGCAATTAAATCATTAATCACATAAATTAGTTTTTCAATGGATGTACCATTTCTAAGGTAAATTTCCATTTCACTTTGTGATGTGCAAGGAAGGAAGCTCATAAAGACAAACATAATGTAACCAATGAAACTACAATAAGATAACAGATTCTTGTATCGAGATTTCCATTTTCCATTATAATGTGAAAAATATTTGAGATTTATTTAATTTATTCTGCCTCTCGTCAGAGATAAACTGGACTACAAAAAGCAAAAGAAACAGAGACGTTCAAAACCACGTTAATAAAGTTGAAAACGAATTAAAATTTTGTTGTGTAGCAAACACAAGCCAACAATAGAGTAAAAGACTAAAAGATGAAAAGAATGTTGTTAGCTTTTGTTTATAACAAACCTGATCATTCCACGCGATATACAGTACAGACTTTCATCTGTATCCATTAAAGGCCAAAATTGATTAAAATAACTAAATATGTCCACAGATATGTCTAAATCTTCTTCCAAAATAACATAATCATATACCGAGCATTGGGATAAGCATTAAACGTCTCTGTCAATGTTCGCTGTAATGCTGGGAGGAAGAGAAATACATTTAAAAAGTAATAAAGGAACGAAAAATTTTGATTACCGTAAACACTCTCGAAAAAGCCTTACCAACCTGTGATATTCTAGCGTTCTTACTGCTAATAGGAATATGCTGTACGACTTTACATCATATAGCCTTGCCACAGCAGCTGGTTCTTCAAAGAATCCATCAATAAATACAGTAAATAACTCCTTCTTTGCTCCATGAGCTGACAACATTGACCGTAAGCCACGATAAAGATAATGTGGCCTGTTACTAGCAATCACAGCAACAGGAATGTCTTGAACTTTTTCTAACTTCAACGGTGTTGTTTTAATTAATATTGATAAACATTTTATGAACATATCGTCAACACTTATTCTTATTTACATAGTGCTTTAATGATAATGAATAAATATCATTCACAGTAATTAAATTGTCCCATATGATGTAATGAAGGATAACTTACAATGATACACTTCCATAGCCTTCAAACTTATCAAAACATTCTTCTGCTTTGATTCTTCACTGTCATCCCAAGCACATTGAGATTGTTTAGCAGGAACAAGAGGAACTGTAGCACGAGCAGTGACAGGCTCACCCCAGTTCGATATGTCTGCTGCGTGATGATGTTTCTCTGAGTATTGATGGCCACGTTTTGTGACGATAAATGACCAGCTATCCCGCCATTTTAGTTCATCGGCATAAACACTACCAAGACTTTTGAGCAAAAGCAATATCGGCGATCATGTAAAGACACAGTTCTCCACGTAAAGGATTCTTTAAGAAACTCTACAAGTGTCAAGGAAACATTAACTTGTAGCATTATTTTCCATCTGTTAAAATGTGACTTCAATACGATCGGAAATACGTACTGACTTAATGGTCATTGTTTGCACTCCATTTCTCTTCCATTTGACTTGGTGCGCAAAATGGTAGTTCAGTATAATGAGCAAATTTTGTGCAAATTTAAGGAGACTGGCAACCGGCAAATACTTCATTGCTATCTTACAATTGGTTCATTTGAATTTTGTTTTATTGTGATTGGTTTGACGGATTTCGACTGATAGCCAACTGAACTAACATAGTCAAGCTCACTGTCTGAATTGAATGTTTGATCGTTTCATAGCAATTTTATAAGCATGATAGAAACTAAACTACAATCAGATGGATTTTATTGAAATCTTTTACAAATTCATATATTGACATGAATGAAGCTGTCCAAACTGTGAATTTTTCAAGAGGGTGAAAAATTTATGGATAAATGTAAATGCTTGTAAGACGATCTCGCGAGCGACATTTCAGTCATTGATGTTCAAAAGAAAGCCAACATTGTTTTGAGTTTTATCAGCAGAAATTTACATCCAAATCGTAAGTAAAGGACAAGTGAAGTGTATGCATGAATGTAATATATCAAAGTCAATTTATGCGAGTATGTGATGCGATTTATGTCAATATGGCATATGGTAAGCAGATTGATGCTTTAAAATTGTTGCCGAAGGACTTTTAGCTATAATTTCTTTAGTGCTTGGGGAATCGTGGCTACAGCAAAATCCTACATTCCTGCAAATATATTTCAATGGACAAAAATCTGTAGCCATAAAGCGCCATACTATTATTTACTTTATCATAAGCAAATGTTTGGGGCTTTTCAGTTTATGATCATTGATCATTCAATCATTGGACAGTTATACTACATATTGTTTAAGATTTGAGAAAACTAACATTGATTACATGAGAAGCTGTTTACTATAACCTGTGATTTTGAGTCTTCTGATCCATGAAGCTTTTTATTTTGACAATTTGACTGGAATGGTATTAAACCTGAGTATTTCACATACATGAAATGTTGTCCCATGTCACATATTGTCCCTTTTCAAACTGAACACCTCATCTAGAGATGTAAGGTGTAAATCTATGGCTCATACCATAAAATCCAAAGTTTGCCATAAAATCCAAAGGGCTATTGATGTATGAAAAGCATTTTTTATAGAGTAAAAATGTCTTCCTATGTATGCAGATAAACCTTGAAATTTGGCAAAACAGCAAAGTATTTTCATGATCACTAGGTAATTTTTCTGATGATCATTATAATTTCTAAACTAAATTATTTCAGATCAAACGAGCTTTGATCATATCAAAAGATATTTATCATAACCAGTAAGCATGACACATGAACCAAATATAACATTCATGTAATTATGTAATTAAAGACATGTTGGTTACATTCTGTTTGTATTTGCAAATACAATGCGAGATGTTTACGAATCTGGGACTTAGATGCTCGAGGATTTCATAAGCATGTGGAGATTATGGTTAAAGGGTAATCACGTGTTAATTGTTGATCACCGGCTTCACCTTACGCCAAACATAAACCAATTAACGTAAAACCTATTTTCATTCCTAAAAATCGGAGACTGCGTGATCATCTTTGATTAGAGATATCATTCTATCATGCGGCATTTAAGCCAATGAATGTGGGGAAATCTTGAAGTTTAAAAAACTTTAATGTAAATGTGATTGGATAAATTTTCATCATGGTTTGATCAAGGAAATGAACTCGTTGAACAAGGAATATAAGAGGAAAAAGATAACTTTCAATTTGTTCAGTTTTACTGTTAATAATGTAATTTTAAGGATTACAACCACGGAAAAGAAACAATCGCGCTTTTCCCACAAACATTTACCGCATTTGAAAGTCCTGCTATCGTTACATCGCTAAAGATAATTATTTGAAAACGAACTTACCTCTCATTCTTTCCCTTTGTCCCATCCTATTAGGATTGCTAAAATGAATCACTTGCTACCATTTAGTTCTGTCAATAAAATTCTCTCGTTAAATTATTACATTACATTTTACAATGGCAAGTCATATTATTGCAATAAGCAGGCCCAATGTTCATAATAAGTATTGAGCACGACAAAGCTTTTCTATAACATGTGGTGATTCCACGTGAATAAATTACAAGCTTTTGATATGCCTTCTAATTTATTTGTTGACGTAACAAGTTGAATAAAGGTGGTCAGGTGGGAGAAAATGATAACTCTCCAAGCTATGGTGCATTGAATTGCGGTTTTGGGTGAGATAATTTTTGTTCATACTAGATAAAATTTACCACAACACGACATGCTCTGTCTGCCGTCATAACCTTACAATCATTGATTTCGCAAACTCTTCATTGAGGAAACAAAAGAAATATTCTTTTGTTTTCTCCAAAACCTCTGGGGAAAAGGCTTTGCTTTTACTAACCAATGTCGTTAGTTAACTTATAACCAGGCTTAATTCCTTTGTCTTTGCCCTGCATATATTTTCATGCAATCAATGAATTTAATCCCTTTTATCATGGTTTGAACAAAATTGACGAATGAATTAATAATTAATTCATGTGATATATGAAAGTTATCAGAAGAAAAGTAGGGTCTTTCACTTCGATAACCCTATTTGACCGAGCTGTTCGTCTGGGAAAGGTGAAAGTCTGTTGAAAGTCGAAGACAGCCTTCAAGAAATGCGACTACTTGTTGGAAAGGACGAGCAACTGAAGACACGGTTGAGATATTTTAGCCATGTTTGAAAGCGGCAGGTTAAATACAGAAAAATCGTCGATGACATAAAGATGTAAGTTTGAGATCGATGAATTCAAATGTATAACCCAATTGTGATGTGAATTTCGTTACAGCATATTCAAAGCATCGTTATGAGTCCTATTTGTTCGAAGGAATGATCGATTTCTTTGGTTTCTAGTATTTCTATGTTTCGATCTTGGAGCACAAAAATGCCGTCAAGTTTCAGTTACATATTGAAGT